TCTCAAAGTTTTACACAAGACTGATTTAATGGGGAGAGGGGTTGTTGAATACAGCTCAGGTCTACACAGCTTCTTTCCCTGTTGGAATGCTAGCCATTCAGGACTGCCTCTTTATGTCTTTTCCCCCTTTCCAGGGATTAATTCCATATCTGTGTCATTCTATAGTCTGTCTTCCTAGAGCCAGGGCAAGGAGGAGTATGTCTCAAAGTTTTACACAAGACTGATTTAATGGGGAGAGGGGTTGTTGAATACAGCTCAGGTCTACACAGCTTCTTTCCCTGTTGGAATGCTAGCCATTCAGGACTGCCTCTTTATGTCTTTTCCCCCTTTCCAGGGATTAATTCCATATCTGTGTCATTCTATAGTCTGTCTTCCTAGAGCCAGGGCAAGGAGGAGTATGGGGGATGGAGAATCCATGTCTCTTAGGTTTCTCTATCTTAAATTCCCGTCCATCACACCTGTCTCCTTCAGCTTTCACCTTCTTCTTTTATGAAGACCCTATTCCTGCTCAGATGGGTCTAATAACACATGAAGCCTGATATACGCTCCAGGTAAAGCAAACTGAGGTCCCAGGATATGTCTATACTGCAATAAAAAAAAACCTTGTGGCACTGAGTCTTAGGGTATGTTAGAATGCAGAGCTTTTCCGGGATACTAGAAGTATCCTGGAAAAGCTCTGCTGCATCCAAGGAACGTGTCTGCTTTTCTGAAAAAAATGTCAGAAAAGTGGACACGTTTTGTCGGCATCCTTGTAAACCTCATTTTACAAGGAAAAAGGTTTGTCCGTGTGGATGGGCCAAATGTTGGAAAAGCTTCTTTCAAAAGTAAATCAATAAATTGTTCTGATTTTTCTTTGTAGTCTAGACATAGCCTTAGAGTCTCAGGTCAGCTGACTCAGGTTCATGGGGCTGAAGATAGCAGTGTAGATATCCAGGCTCCGGCTGAAGCCTGAGCTTTGAGACTCACCAATCTTACACTGTCTCAAGTATGGGCTCCAGCCTAAACTCAAATATCTACACTGCAACAATCCAAGCCCCATGAGCCCAAATTAGCTGACCAAGGTAAGTTGCAGCCATGCCATTAGCATACTCTCTGCCGACAAATATCTGCAGTGTAGACGTAGCCTTAGACTCACATTTAAACCTTTGTTCACCTGTGTGGAGTTAATATACTATCACAGGGATACATATTTTGTAGTTATGTATTCAGTGTCTGTATAGCCTTATGTTTGCTGTGTATGTATTTTGTGCAAGGGTGCTCTGCATGGATGTGGATGTTTTCTATAAAATAACTGAAAACCACCAGCGTTAATATGTTTTGAAGGTGCGCGTGTATTGTACATATACTTGCCTATATGTGATTTGCAGAGCTGCTTGGGTGTGTGTATAAAGGATATAATGATTTTTAGTTTTGCTTTCTCTGAAATAAAACCAACATGACAAGGGATGGGGCTATCCACCACAGTCACTTTGTTCTAGTGCATGTTTGTTTAACATTGTGTTTGTAGAGGTGAACCTTACGCTTGGTGTTCATGTTTCTTAAAATACAGAATCATTATATTGAGGATTACAAGGTGGGGAAGCATTTTGGATTTATCTGTATTAACACTTCCATAAATACTGTTGGACTCTTATTTATCTTATTATAGTTTTAAACCATTAGTCTAAAGCTCAACTGCTGAGTCTTTTGAGGCAAAAAGTGTTTCCAAGACTACATGAGTCTTGTAATTATGTCTCCTGACAACAATGAAGATATTAGAAAGTCAGCCAATTTTTTCTGAAGGTACATTTTTGTGAGATATTTGACTTCTATTTGCAGGTCTCCTCTGCTCTGCTTAATTTGTTAGCTAGCAGCCATGATATACTTTCAATTTGTGTGCGGGCATGTATGTTCACAGAAAGGTACCTTAATTCTTATTTTTGTTAAATAATTCAATAATGCAACTATTTTAAAAATACCAATAAGATATCTCAAATCTTAAAGACAAAGACAATTATAGCTTTTCCTATCATAGCTCTTTGCTTATGTATGCCAGTGTTACCATTTTTATAAAATTACACTTCACTATTTATAAGCATGCTGTAAGATTTTTAAAAATAACTATGAAGCTTAAACATTTCTGTCCTTCATGTTTTAATACCCTGATCCTAACAAACCTGATAGAACATCATTACAGAATAAACCCACTGTGCCCTATTTTAAAGTAAAGGACTAGTTCCTGATGTTGAGCTTAATCTCTGATGCTGAGATTTCTGTGTGTGTGTCTCAAAAACATACAAGTTAATACAGATATTTTCTATGAACTAAAAGGAGCAATCTATGATTACAGCTGGTTGTACAGATGTTTGTGTACAAATTCTGACCCACTGGAGGCATAAATAAATCTATGGAAATAATTATAAAAAATGTATCATTTTTCTATAAAATGGTTTAAATACTGATGGTATTTTGACTTTTCAAAAAGAAAAGTTGATTTTTTTTAAGCCATAGCCATCGCTATAACATCAAGGAAATCACAAAAAGGAAAGGAGAAATGCCACAAGATAAGAAGAACTTTGTGTATTTTTTGAATAATTGTTCCCCTCTTTCTGGTCCCATGTTCTCACTCAGTATAAAAGTCCACCCTGCTTTATCTCATACATGTAAAATACTTGAGGAACAGTTTTCCTGCACACTACGTCCTGGGGTTCATTCAGTGCTAGTGGTCACTTTTTCCTGGCCACTCTGGGGACTAGCTCCAGGGCCCCCTTCTGGTGCTTGCTCTACTGTCTACTGAATTTTCTCTGTGTCTCTGCAACTCTCGTTGCTCTTTCTTTATAACTTGACCATTGGGCCAGGTCACCATGTGAGCTTACCTCTTCTAGTCTTTTGGGGAGTCTTCTCTCCTCTGCCATGTCTGTGCCACTTCCCCAGTGGTTGGTAGGAGAACCTAGCCCATTCTCTAGTCTCAGTTCCAGCCCAGAAACCTTCTAGGCATCAGCCAAAGTGTGTTCCATCCTGGACCAGATTGCTTTTTTCCCTGAGCCTTTCCACATCTTCTTGCTCTCTCTTCATCTTGAGTTTGCCAGCTGCAAACTCTCTCCTCCCAGGGAGTGCTATTTTCCTTTATAGTGCCAAACTAACCTCCCATTTCCTAGGGTGTAACTGGAGACTACGGCCCTCTCCACTATCAGCTTCCTGCCCTTAAAAGCCCAATCCAACCCAGCTCATCCCCCTCAGTTAGGCTCCCTCTTTCAGTCAGAGAGGTGGCTAGAGGAAGAGTCTGCTGGCTCACTGGGGGTGCATCTACACAGCAGGGTTTGACTCAAAATAAATTACACAAATTGAGCTGCAACAGTTGCATACCTTATTTCGAAATAGCCTTCCTTCCCTTCCTCAAACTTCCCCTTACACATTCCCAACCCCTTGCAGTACTGCTTGCATTCCACCCCTAGGGCTACGTCAACACTAGGAGTTTTCTTGGCAAAAAAAAAAAAAAATGCTAATGAGGGACTCATTTGCATGAGCCACAATCTCATTTACATATTTTCTGCCAATCCATTTTTGCACTAGGGTTTTTGCACAAAAACAAGCAGTATGGACATTTTCTTTTTGCGCAAAAACCCCTTTTTCTGTAAGATTGGCATACCTCCTTTTTTGGGGAATAAGGATCTTGCGGAAAAAGGGGTTTTTTGCACACACACAAAAATGTCCACACTGCTTGTTTTTGCACAAAAACCCAAGCGCAAAAATGGATCGGCAGAAAATATGCAAATGAGATCATGACTCATGAAAATGAGTCCCTCATTAGCATATTTTAAACTTGTAGTGTAGACGTAGCCCCAGGGTATGTTCCATTATGGCAGCTGAATTTACATATAGTTGTAAGAGTCTCACTTTGGACAGTGCTGCTCACCATCATGTCCCGTGTAAGAAATGTTAATCTATGGATTGAAGTTTAACAAAAAACAGTGATTCTTTATTTGTTACCTATACAGGATTGTTGCAGCAGAAATCATACACAATGACACATATGTAGACTACAGTTAATGCTCAGGCAAGCATCGTTACAAGGGTAATTTAAGGTGGCAAGTAAGCAAAACCTGACTCAAGTCATTACCAGAAAAACACATTACTGGGCCTCATTATTCAAATGGTGCTTCAAAGCTTCTCTGATAAAAATAGAACCCCTTTGGAGTCCTTGAAATAGCCTGTGTCTGGTTGCTTAAAAGAAGGCAATCCACCTCTGCACTCCATTGCTGGGGAAACTTCCCCCCTTGTCTTCACATATGTTATGCAGAGCACATCAGGCTGCTATAACAATGGGGATATTCTCCTCATTGGAACTAACCTGATAAAAAGGCAGTGCGAGCACCCCTTTAATCGTCAAACACTTATTCTATGGGCATTCTGCACCTACTGAGCCTGTTATTGAAGAGTGCCTTGATGCTGTCAAGGTTTACAGTGTATAGCTTCAAGAGCCACGGGAGTAAAGGATGGGTTGGGTCTCCCAACATTACTGTGGGCATTTCCACATGCCCTTTTGCAATCTTTGATCTGGAAAGAAAGTCCCTGCATGCACCTTTCTATACAGACCAGTATTCCTGAAGATGTATTTATCATGCACCTTCTCTGACCAACTCACACTGATGTCAGTGAAACAACACTGGTGGTCTACTAGCCCCTACAATACCATGGAGAAGTAGCCCTTTCTGTTGATGTACTCTAGAGGTGGGGAACCTAAATCCTGGGGGCCAGATGCAGCCCCCGGCTTGCCTTGATTTGGCTCTGAGGTTTAGGGCTTCCCCCAGCATTGTTTCTCGCTTGTGTGCAGCCCTGAGTGATTTTTCTGTGAGTTAGTGGCTCCCAATCCAAAAAAAGTTCCACATCCCGATGTACTCCATTGCAAAATGCTCTGGGGCCAAAACTGGGGGATGCATACCATCTATTGCTCTGACGCAGTTAGAGAATCCTATTGCTGCAAAGTTTTCTACTATTTTCCATGCATTGCCCACAGCTGCAGTCCTTCACAGCTGGTAATTAATGGCCCTGCACACTTAGGGCATGTTTAAACTACATCCCTCTCTCAAAAAGAGGACTATAAATTAGGCAGATCGAAAGTGCAAATGAAGTGGAGATTTAAATATTCTGTGCTTTATTTGCATAATGGCTTTTTCGGAAAAGGACTTTTTGAAAGTGAAAGTGCCATCTAGACGTGGTTCTTTTAAAAAAAAACCCTTTTCCAAACGATCCCGTACGCCTCATTTTTTGAGTACGGGATTTCGAAAAAGGTGATTTTTTTTTAAAGAACCACGTCTAGATGGCACTTTCACTTTCAAAAAGCCCTTTTTCGAAAAAGTGCTCAGATACCATTATGCAAATGACGCGTGGGATATTTAAATACCCGCTTCATTTGCATTTTCGATCTGCCTAATTTACATCTCTGTTTTGACAGAGTGATGTAGTTTAGACATAGCCTTATATCACCATCCTCACTCCTAGTGGGCTTCCCAGTATCACACTGATGAGTGACTCACTGGTAGCAGTGTGGAGTGGTCATCTTCTGCACAGCAATCACTACATGTTTTTCCTCCATTAGGGCAGCTCTCATTATCATGTCCTCATGCTGCAGGGCAAGAGAAAGCCCCACACTGTGTTCAAGAAAGGTGGCTTTTCCTCTGTGAAGGTTCTGCAGCCACTGCTTGTCGTTCCATACCTGCATCACAATCTGATCCCACCACTTAGTTCTTATTTCCCAATCCAAATAATGACAATTCACTGTGTGCAACTGCTCCTTAAATGCCAACTTCAATCTTGACTTGTTTCTTTCCATGGCACATACCAGGGTAGGCACTACAGATTCCTGTTCAGATTAACAGCTCATGAAATACTGCAAGATCAGTCATATTGTGTTCATAATGCTTATCACTAGACTGGTAAGCAGTGCAGGATCCATGCTTTCAAGCAGAGATGGCAGGTGCAAAGTTTACAAGGGCAGCTGACCAATGGCACAAAATGTAGTTGGAAGCCCTTGGAATTAGGGGATGGAGAAAACTGCATCAAGGGACAGTGATCCTATCATTATGCACTTCCCACTGTAATCTATTTCCAGAACTGCTAGTGGGAGAGCGATTTACAGTGAGATACACCATGCCCTGCTATACGTCCAAGATACATCCCAAAAAATGTGGATGTATAGACAAATGATGTAAAGCGGGGAATTTTTTTCCTGTGGTCAACTTCCATTTGCGTGAATTGGTCTTTTTTTTTCCCCCACGATGTAAAAGCAGGGAATGGGAGGACTTATAATGCAATAGTTCCTATGAGTGTCAACAATGTTAGTGCAGAACCGATGTATATTGGAGTGACATATAGCGGGGATGCCCTGTAGCTACCCATAGTGCACTGCTCTCTGTCAGCACTAGAATAACTGTGGGCACACTCCACTGACACAGGGAGCACTGCATGAACGTGTGCAAAGCAGTGTATTTAGAATAGATTATGATCATTGTTGTAACTTAAGATGACTTAATTCTATAGTTTACACATGGTCTATATCGAACAATCAGTCCTCAACTCTCAAAGGAAACATGCACAATACTTTCAAAAAATAATCCTGGAATAACATTGCTAACTGAAAATCGTGGACTACATAGAGACTCTACATTTATGGCAAATTAGAACAATGTATTAGTCACAGACAACCTCCTATTATTTTCCCCTCTCTTCCTCTTTTTCCCCCCAGTAACTACTAGTGGCCCTTTTAATGTGTGTGAACTAATTATGCTAAGCAATCTGTTCCACCTTGCATTTAGCTGTGACACTCTGATTAAATTTCTCTGAAGAAGAGCTCTATGTGGCTCTAAAGCTTGTTTTTCTTACCAACAGAATGGTCCAATAAAAGACATTACCTCACCCACCATGTTGCATTAAAACTGACACCGCTAAAACAGCACTGCATACATAAAATGAAGCTGACAGGGCCAGGAATGGAAGTGCGGTTCACACCTCCTCAGCAGGTGGGAAGAAGCAGGGAAGTTGGCTCTGGGAAAAAGTGGAGAGAATCTACTTCCCTGGGGGACAAGGACCACCCATCTACAAGAGATTGTGGTGCTAAAACTCATGCTTCAAGGGGACAACTCACTAGTGGCTGTCTCGACCAATTAGAAGAATTGGAGTGATATGAGCGCCCCCATGAACTCTGCCCCATGTGCCATTCCTGTGGGATAAAAAGGAATGAGATGTATATAATGTAAATGGAAACGGACTTACAATGTTTTGATGAAACTATACTGGTATTATTGTTGGGACTGTTTGCTGAATGAACACGTGAAGCTTGAAATCAGTAAGCAGTAATCTCAGAGAGGGATTGTAAGAACTCTTCTGTGCTCCTTGAGAGTTACCTCGACTCCACTATTTTGGAAGGAGGACGAGATACGATTTGTCTAAGAATAACTCATGAATCCAGTTTGATTTTATGAATTATCTCTATCCTTATGTCTTACAGGCCTGCTGACAGGAATTCCAGGCACAAGGACAGTACAATAAATTGAGTCCCCTTGTCCTCTTCCCTTGGATGAAGCCACAAACTCCCCCCACCCAGAGAAATCCTGACCACCACCCCTTACTCTGAGGACCCCCCCGGTTGGTCACAGTCCCAACCCCCACCTGCCTGGAGGTACTCCTCCCACCCTTCCCCTGTCTGCCCCCCAGCAGTCCTGTGCTTAGCTTGGCCCTTTCTCCTCTCTGATTCACCCCAGCCCAGCTCTGCTCCCAAGCGGTCTGTGACCCCCTTTCTGCCCTTGGGTGCTTTGTCCTAGACATAGCTGCCTATCTCTGTCCCCACTCCTGTGCTCTTTTCCCTTCTCTGGCTGGGAGGTTCCAGACTTTCTCAGCCCAGTTCCTCTGCCCCTCTTGGCCCTCACTCCCAACAGCCCCATGCCTGGCTCAGCCCCAGAGCTCAGCTCCATCCTTTTCTTCTCAGTCCAGCTCTCCCTATTCCCAACCCAGCTCTTCCCTCCCAGCTCACTCTCATGGTTACAAAGCTGCACTGATTGCTGCCATAGCCAGGCTGGCTCCTCCCCCAGCTCTGTCTTCCCAGTGCAGCTGGGGGCTGCTGTTCCAACTCGCCCTCTGGCCGCCCATGGCCCCTCCTGCCTTGGCACTGTCCAGCAGGGTGCACCACCAAATGTGCACAGCCATTCTGCAGCACGCAGCAGGCACTGGGACTTGGGAGCATATGCCTAGGAGTCCTGAAGTCCACCTAGGCAATGTAAAAGGGCCTGGGTCTCACAGCAGCTGCTACTGCAGCTCTAGACAGAGGACACTGGGCACCTTTAAATCTCTCAGGGCCCCTGGGCAATTTCTCCTTTTGCTCCCACTCTCATGGGACTGAACTTGGCCTTAAAGCCTTCCAGGGCCTGTGAACTAAGAGCAGCATTGAGGGACTCCCTCTTTTCCCTTCCAAACCTGGTTCCTTTGACCCCCTTGCCTTTGCTCCCCCCCACCAGTCCTGTCCTCATGTGCTCACTCAGTAAAAATGCAGCCACAGACTCACATTGGCTGGTGTGGGAAGGGAAAGGAAAGTTGGTGGTGGGGGACAGTGACTGGTCACTGCACAGACCCAGGGTTTTCCTCATTGTCTGTAGACATGCAGCCTGGAAGGGAGAGACAGATTTAAACAGGAAAATGCTGCCTCTGTTTAGCGCTCTGGCCCCCTCCGCCACAGTGCTGCTCCCCCCAGGTGGGGACTCATAGTGGTAGGGATCTCCGGAACTCTGCCCCCCACCCACACTGCTGCCACTCTGCAGACCTGAGTGGGGTTGACAGGGAGCTCCTCCCTCTCAATCCTCGGCTCTGAAGTCCTGAACACAGGCTTTAAAGAGGCAAGGAACTCTGGACCCGCTCCTGCACTGCCACTCTGCAGATCTGAGCTCAGGGGCTCTCCGCAGTGATAGTTTAAAGAACTGGTTGAGGCCTGTAGCAGCAGGAGACTAAGGCCCCCAGTGCAACTGCCCCCTTTGTCCTTCTGCACCCCTCAATCAGCAGGTCTGATATCTTATGATTATCATTTACACTATGATGCCTTATACTCCTTGTGCTAAGGAGACAGGGGAATGATAGACATGTCTGCCCATCAATTGGCTGATCATTAAAGACCTGAATAGAGATTATCCGGAGAAAAGGAAAGAGTAATGGCAGCCTAATAAAGCTAATACGGGGGCTGGAATTCCGAGAATAGAAAATCCTCAAAGAGGGGAACAGAAAGGTCAGGTCTTAACACTGACACATTTTCCAGTGTTGTCAACACAACATGCAAGCTCTAAATTCAAATTAAAAATAATTTTAAACTATTAGAGAATATTAGGAATATATAAATCAGATCAACTGGGAATATATAGAAATGACATCAGAACATATATTTGTTTTCTTTTATTTGCACATATTCTTAAATACTTCTCTCTTCTACACTTTAGTTTTTCTCATACTGTTAGATGTAATTCTTTATCATTTTTAGGAGTGATGTTACTCGTCAGTCATTAATTTAGGGTTCTGGGACACATACTAAATCTTACTGGATTTCTTTACAGTTAATATGTGAAAAGTTCTGAGAGTTCAGCACATGGTTTTAGCACAAAAGCTACATCCCTGTAATGTAGTTTGCCCTAAATTACTGGCATAAACTCTCAGTCTTAATTCCATTTTAATGTAGTTATTGTCTGGGAATATTTGTGTATGCAGTTGGTGTTCATTATTCATCATGTTACTATCAGTAAGTCTAACCCACTTTGAGAAAGTCTTTCTAAACCTAATACATTCTTAAGTTATTTTTAAAAATGCTAAGCGCATCAGGCCAGCGAATACCCTCTGGAGGAGTATTACATTCAAGGAGCCACACTGCTCTCTGCTCTGGCCCCTAGCTCTTTGAAGGCAATATTTAGACATGCATGGAAAAGGTCATTACTGCTACAGCACAGAACACGGAAAGAAGAGGAAAGACAAAGGATTTGTGCCCATGATATGCTGTAAAAAAATCATGTCTGAAGGTTCATCGGCACTGACTATGAAAGTTTGACAACAGGTATAATATATTCTGCTTTTTCAACTAATATTGCCCGAGGTGCTTCCTGAATAACCTCAGATCTGTAACCAGCAGCATCTTGACAACTGTAAAGTAAGATATGATAGGAGTCCAGAGAAGTGATAAAAGCATAAGTTAAACTACCAAAAATATGTTTTAAAGAGGTTGCAGTCTTCTTATGTTACACAATGAGTAAAACAAACCTAATCGTAGCATCATAGGTAACATTAAGATTCTGTCACGAATCTTAGTTAAAGTAATAGATAGGTCATGGGTAATAAATCAAAATTTATGTAAGCCTGCGATCTGCCCAGACTTTAAACAAAAATACCATCAGGGTTGAGGGGAGAGGGAGTGGAGTAAGAGAGCGCTGCCAGATCTTGCTCCTGGGGCAGGAGCTGATGACTGCTGGACCTTTCTTAGACGGACTGCTCCAGTAGCTAGGAACTGTTGCCAGAGGCTGACAGTTGGTCAACTGTTCGGTGAATGTGGGGCTGACAACTACTCCAGCCCTGCCCTAGAAGTTACAGAGATCCAACTGTTACCTGGAAGACTTAGGTAAACAATTGCTGTGGAGCCTAAGCAATTAATTAAAGCCTAAGGCTGTCCCCCCATAGAAGATAGATTCAACCTGGTGGTACGTATCTAATCACCGTTGGAATGGAGCCACAAATCAGGCCAGAGACAAAATTTAGGGCCAAACCACATATTTTGAAAATAGGAATGCTCAGCAACAACAACACAACTGTAATTGTCCCACCCTAACCCGGAAGAAAAAAGAGATAGAAAGGTCCCTGTACACAAAAGGAATATACTTTACAAAACTTGGAGGCAGTGATGGGTGTCTGCGACCTGCTACCCTGTGACTTATTTGAAGCCGTAGGGGAGGATCAGCAGGGAGATCCCTCGAAGGTAGATCAGTCTGGATTCCGGAGCAGTCCTCGAGCTGGATCCTCACCTCCACGTGGGTTGACACCTTTAGGATCTGCTGACACCAGTCCTTTGGCTAGATGTACGATCCGTAGGCAGGACACGTAGTGGATAATAACAGTCCCAAAGTCCCGCAGCACCGGTCCCAGTTTCCTTATAGGGGAGGCTTCCCTCACACCTCAGAAGAACACAGCACTATGACTGGACTCGGGCAGTCCTAGTCAATTCACCACGCATGGATGGAGCTCCTCAGAGATGACGATGACACACGATCATGAAGGGATGGAGGAGAAACAACCCGAGCTCTCCTCAAGAGAGGGCTTATAAAGAGTCTAAGGTGGGAAAACTGGGTTGGCGTGAGGGGTGCAGAAATAGGGTGGTGTGCACACGAAAAGAGGGTCGGGTGCACGACCTGGATGCGCACACATCATATTGGAGAGGAGTGCACAGGTATAGGGCCATGTGCACAGGCTAGGGGGTGGAGTGCAAAGCCTTTTGAGATGATGCACTCTGTGGCTGTGTCTACACTGCACCCCTTTTCTGGAAAAGGGATGCAGATGAGACAAGTCAGAATTGCAAATGAAGCGGGGGATTTAAATGTCTAGTTTTCCTATTCAAAATTACTTTCATTTTAAGATTAGAAGATTTACCAGGCATTGTTCAAGCGCTTCAGGACAGGGAGCTGTGGATGTGGAGGTTGTAGGAGTCAGAGCAGGGGGTGGGGCTCAGGGAAAGGGGTTGGGAGGTAAGAGTCAGGGCTGAGGGGGGAGGTGCAGGAGTCAGGGCAAAGAGCTGGAGTGAGGAGGTTCAGGAGTCAGGGTTGGGGTTGAGGAGGGGCTCAGGACAGGAGGTGAGGGATTCCAGAGTCTAAGCAGGGGGTGGGGTTGCAGGAGTCATGGCAGGGGGTTGGGACCTATGGGGGGCTCAGGGGAGGGGTTGGTGGCTGCTTCCTGGGGCTGGCTTGGGGTTTCGGGGGCTGCACTGCCTGGTCACTGGTATTGCTCCTTGGGGCCTGCTTGGGACAGTGGCAGCTGCTGCCCTGGGCCAGGCTGGAGTGGTGGGGGCCAGGCTGGTGGCTGCTTCAGTGCTATCTGGGGCTGTTGGGGGGGGGGTTGTTTGCTGCACCCCTGTGATCATTCTGGAGTATGATTGTCCCTGCTACCAGACCCCTCCATTTGTATTTAATGAAAAAATGATCACATTCCACACACATCCAATTGTTCTGGCACAAACAAACCCTGTCCTTGCTTTAAGTTATGATAAGAGGAAGGTGCATACCAAATTTGATGGTCCTAGCTCTTACCGTTTAGGAGGAGTTCTTGAAGAGACTCACAGATGGACGGACGGATGGACACACAGACAGACACAAAAGCTTTTTCAAATATATAGCAGATTTAAGCTAATGATTTTAATCACATTTTTAAAACATAAATGGTCAAAGTTAAAATGAAAAGTTTTGACAGAGTTTTCATACCGATTTGGGACAGGAAAAAAATTTAGAATGAACATTTTATGTGACAGGAAAAATGTTTTCCACCTAGTTCTAATCTTTACATTATTCAGGGCACAGGGCAGGTGCTTCCAGGATGTACAATGTCAGGGTAACTAGACTCCTACATACAAAGATACCACTGAGAATTCAGCTGCATGGACATGCCGTTTATACCTCCTGATACTTGATGACACAGTTTCTATATCACACTCACTACTGCAGTGTATAAATAGATGTATTCTCTCCCTCATATTTTTCATACAACTGAGAACAGAAAACTGGGACTCCTGGTAACTTGTAACCTAACATCGGCAGCTTTTTTCCTTCTTCCATGAAGAGCCTTTGGGAACGGCTCTTCCAATCAGTTACAGGAAAATTGCTATTTGGCCCTAACTGTTGGTTCTAACTGCCATGGCATCCTTCCAGTTAGAGCATTTCATTCCCTCTCCAGTTTTAGGAGCATCACTGAAACATCCCACTGGTTATTGGACCAAGAGAAAAGAGAGAGAAAGAGCCAAGTTAGGGACTTCTAGTAAAATTCTGGCCCTAGTAGCGAATTCAATGGGAGTTGTGTCACTAACTTCACTCAGGCAAAATTTCACCCCTTGTCTTTACTTGTCCAGTTAGCATCATGGGACTCTCATCTTGCTCTGGACCACCAGCTGCTCCTGTAATTACACTTTAAATAATATCACTTGATGCAACTGCAGCAGTTTCTTCAGTTCTAGTTCTCTCAGTAATTGCAGAAAAGTAGCCCCTCTGATCAACTACCTCCCCTCCCCAGATATCATGCTGTAAATGCAAAAGACTGGCAGTTATTAGTCTTCACGATGACCAAGATTCTGTCAATGATCTACCCACCTGAAATAAGCCCACCTGAAAAGTGCTTTCCTGCTTTATTGGATTTAGCAAAAATGTAGGAGCCCGTAAACACTCACTTCTCTTGTTCATGTAAAGTCTATTCATTTGTGGGAATACCCATGGGAGCTTCCTTCCACCTATCCATTTGAACTTTTGTTATAGGACAGATCCCCAGCTCCTAGCTTCTTAGGCATTTTAGCAGAGCACAGCACAATTACTAACCAACCATGGGGCACACAAACATGGATCATAATTGGTATACACTGAAATTATTCTTCACAATTTGTGTTGTTGTTACAATCATAGGTGCAGGCAGACATGAGCCACAGAGTACAATTCTTAATTTTCTGGAGTCATTGCCTATGAAGCATGGCAGAATTTCATTATTTTTCTCTCCTTTTCAGTAACCCACTGGACATTTATATCTACTATACCTGCATTATTATATAATGACCTTGAAATACTTTGAGTTTACTTTGGGTACAGGACAAGTGGCAGAATAACAGCTCATCAAATATCCCATGTACATGTTTCAGTTTCTAGCTCCTCACCTTTGGCTGTAATATAAAGCCATCTACAGTTAACCTTCCATCTTCCTCTGTGAGAAGACACATATCCCAAAGTAAGAAAGGCTACAAGGCTACAAATAGATGTGTCATTATTAATGAATGTACAATTCTAGCTCCTTCCTGTCACGGCCATCACAATCTCATAGGAATAGTAAAACTACCCTGAAGACAGAATTGTGGATTTCAAGTATTTTCACGTTCAGAATGTCAAAGTGATGCATTGCGAATTAATTTGTGGTTTGTGGCCATGCAAATAAATACCTTAGCAGCCAATGGCCTCATTCCTTTTCAAGCCTGGTTACTTGACAATCTCAACTTTCTAATTTTTCCCTTATCAGTAAATTTATTTGAGGCCTGAGTTAGCTGTTATATGTTGTTATTTTGGCAGGATCAGTCAAGATGAGAATTTGGCCAGTTGTTTGTTCACATGTGAGACATAAGAGACAAGAAGAGGTGTCAGATTCTCCATTGGCCTGCACCACATGCAGCCTTACAACCAAGATATAGTGAGAACAAAATAGATGTAAAATTCTATCACAGAATGTTAATAAGTTACCTCCACTGTGCACTTATTTTCCACCAGCATAAAATGCTTACACAAGGTGCAGAGAGGCAATGGAAAATCTGTCCTTGAGGCCTCTAGTCTCTTCTGTGGCAATTCAGAAGAGCTGTGTCAGTGTGCATTTTGATGCTGCATACTGTAGGAGTACAGCTATTCTGGGAAAGGGTCTACAGGACTTGAGAAGCTGAGGCTGAGCAAGAAAGATGTTTATTGGGGGTCCTATGTGGCTTGCCTTGCCGAAGCAATAGGGACTATTTGGGCTGTTGTAGGACTGAGCATATGGACCTCAGGGGAGGACAGGCACCAAGGGTGGGAGGCCAGTTCCAAGGCCAAGAAATTTCTATTGGGTACAGGGGACACATAAGGAGAGAGTACCCTACCAGGAAGGGCAAGGTGGCTTCACCCAGACAATGAGGACATTGCAAGAGTGCCCTCTGTGAGGGTCATAGGGGGTCCCAGAGTATGTTGGATCTGTGGGGAGCTTGGGAACATAAAAAGGGAGTGCCCTAATGTGACCTGCAAGACCCAGGCTAGCCCTGAGGGAAGGGCTAAGCCAAAATCAGAAAGTGGGGAGGCTGTGGCCAGTGGTAGGCATGGGAAATGCTTGCACTGTCATCATAAGGGCCATATGAAGAGGCATTGCTCCCAGAGACAGGAGAGAAGCGTGTCAAAGGACCGGGTTCAGCCAGTGACTACCCCCAAAGGAGGGGGTGGTAAAG